GGGAATTGGGGAGGAGAGGGGACGCGGGCTTGAGGTGTCAGAGGCTTGTTTGAGGGGCTATTGATGGTGCGTATGGCTTGTACATGCAGGGTCATGTGTGTGTCTCTTTGTTGCGGTCCGTGTGTGAAGTGGTCTTTCGTATGTAAGTGTGTGTGTGTGTGTGTGTGTGTGTGTGTGTGTGTGTGTGCGCGCGCGCGCACGCGTGCCTGCGTAACCGTGTGCACATGCACAAAGTGCACGCACAGCGCATGCGAGTGTACGCCCTGCACTTGCACATGTTTTCTGCCGTGGCTTGTATATAATCGGCCTCCTGCCCACCTCTCTTGAGTTTGGCAATCTGCGCACCGGCTCAACCTCGCCACGCATCCTGCACCCCACAACCTTGCAAACTCCCAAAGGGTGGTGGTGCATTCTACGGGCCAAAGATTGACATCAAGATCCAGGACGCCCTGGGCCGCAAGTGGCAGTGCTCCACCATCCAGCTTGATTTCAACCTGCCGCAGCGCTTCGACATGGCCTACGTCGACAATGATTCGTCGCGGCAGCGCCCCATCATGATCCACCGCGCCATCTTTGGCAGCCTGGAGCGGTTCTTCGGCATCCTGGTTGAGAACTACGCGGGCGCCTTCCCGCTGTGGCTGGCGCCCGTGCAGGTGCGGCTGCTGCCCGTCAACGACGCCGTGCTGCCCTACGCCCAGGAGGCCGCCGCGCGCCTGCGCGCAGCCGGCGCACGCGTCGAGGTGATGGAGCGCGCCTCGATCGCCAAGATGATCCGCACTGCTGAGCGCGCCAAGACGCCCGTCATGGCGGTCGTGGGTGCCAAGGAGGCAGAGTCGCGCAGTCTTGCGCTGCGGCTCTATGGCGGCGCCGACCTGGGGAGCCTGCCGCTGGATGACGTGGCGACGCGGCTCAGCGCCGCGATTGCCTCCAGGAGCAGCTTCTAGAAAGTCGCTGGCTGCCAGGTTTTATGCAGCAGCTTTTTTTGTGAAGGAGCGCTGCAGCTCTGCATCATTTCTGCTGGGCTGTGCTCATTGTGCCCATGAGGCAGGATTGCTTTTGTGTTTGGGGCCGCATTCCCATTTTGTCCGCCGCCCAGCATGCCCCAGGCCCTTTATATCATTGGAAGCTGAGAGGCTCCAGGCATGACTTTTGTGCAGGATGTAAGTGCTCGTATGTGCGATGCATTGTGGTGTTTGGGATGCATTGGTAGTTATCATTATCACATTATGTCACGCCTTGCACCAGCTATATTTCAGTGATTGGGCAATGTCGACAGGGGACAAAAGCATCGAGACGCATGGTCATATGCGACTACAGTGCGCAGTTCACGAGTGCTCGGTACATCACCTTGCGGTTTCCAATCATCCAAGGCACATGTGCAACTGGGCGCAGAGATGATCGCTTGCCCAGGGGGGGCCCTGCATGTTGGCTTGCAGCAACGACACGACAGACTGAAAAGGCTTGTGAATTGTCTTTGTCCTTGACATTCTATTGATGCCGTTGGGTTCTGGAGCCTGGATCTTTGACGCAGAAAAGTGTCTCGGAGCACCTGAAGAACTGCTGCCCGCATCGGCTAAAAAGTCCCTGTGTTCAAGCTCAAAGCTAGTTCAAAGTAACATTCTATGCCATAAGCGTCCTAGCATACCTGTTGAGAGCCCACCGATCTTCCCGCGGGCCCTTTCTACTTACTCTCAAAGGCACGGCGCCCGTCGCTCACCAAACAGCCAGAATGATTCCAGCTCCTCAGGTGTCTATGAGGGCAGGTGGTATGCCCAGATGTCGCAGCAGCACTGCTGTCGCCCGCCTGGGCGCCGCCAGCACACCTGCGGTCGCTGCTGCAGGCGCTGCTGCCGTCATGCGAGCCCAGGGCCGTGGCGCCCGCATGGTGGTGGCACGGGCGTCCATGCAGGCACCCACTACCGACGACACAGTCCCTGAGGGCCACAAGGGCCTGCACGCGACGTTGTACGAGGCGGGGGATTCTGCAGCAGCGCATGCGGACGCTGTCTACCGCCCCGTTGAGGGCGAGGACGACGGCGGCGCGGTGATGCCGGCTGAGGAGTATGCACAGGTGGGTGGGGGGCACAAGACTTGATTGACGCGGTTTCGGCCGTGGGCAGTGGGCAGCACACTCGCGTGCCATGCGCCCGCTCCCCCCCCTGGCTGGTGCCAAAGAGTACCCCTAATCTTTGCCCTGCTGCGCCCCCAGGCGCGTGATGGCTCCAAGCCTCCGGGTGTGTTTGCGCTGTACGACCAGGACCGCGTGCTGCAGTACGTCGGGTTCAGGTGGGCGCCACGACCGCGCGCCACAGGCCGAAGGCAGCGGCGGCTTGACGCTGGGCTGCTCCTGCGCCCATTGCAGCAGGCCCGTCTGCTGATTGGGCCTGCCAGATCAACCCCGGGTCAGAGCAGCATTTTGGGCTCTTTGCAGGGCGGCTTTGCTGCTGATGCCTGCGGTGAGCCTGCATGGCGCCGCAGCCTCTCGTGCGCCTACCCCGGTCCCGCACTTGCACCCCTCTCCCCTCCTCAAACATGCACCCACCCATACACGTGCATCCCCCAGCCGCAACATTGTGCTGTCCATCCGAACTCTGCGGGCGCGCATGGGAGCAGACCGCGTGGCCTTCGTGCGTGCCCTGGTGGTGGCCAACCAGGTGCGCTGGCACGCGGGGAACTTGTGCAGGGTGCAGGCACAACGCCGCGCTCGGCGTCAGCAACAGTGGCGGCCCACACAAGCGGCCACGTGACCCCTCTGCGCAGCTGCCGCCATCCTGGAGCTGTCACCCCCCTCGACCAGGCTGCCTCATTCCGTCCTCCTCCTCTCTCCCCGGGCGTCCCACAGGCCATGCAGACGCGCAGCGCCATGGCCAAGCAGGCCCAGACCTGGCTGGATGAGGCGGCCACCGTGCCGCCCGGGAATGGCCCTGAGGCCCACCTGTGGGGCGGCGGCGGCTCAGGCAGCGAGGCGAGTGTGGACGTGTCTGCCATGTCTCCGGCAGAGCTTGCTGCCTACGAGGACAAGAAGCTCAAGATGCGCAAGGCCATGGGGGAGGGGGTGGGCCAGGGCGCAGCAGCGGCAGAGGCGGCAGAGGCGGCGGCGGGGCCTGAGGACCCCGAGGAGCGCCGGCGCAAGATGATCCTGGCCATGGAGGTGCGGGGGGGCTTTGGGGTTGACTGGGGAGAGGGGGCGATGCAGGATTGGAGGCCGGGG